TCTTTTCGCTTCGCGCTGCCGCTTCAACGATTTATGGGCATGCTTTGTGCATTTTCATACAATTCATCTTATCTGTCAAAGCGAATCTGTCACGTAATAGGCCTTTCGCACGAGGCGATTTTTCAGGCAACAAAAGTTGAATGCGGAGTTGAATGAGAAGTTGAAAGTGAAAAAGTTGCCATCCCTATTCAGACGAGGCGATTTTCGCTTCAACTCGAATTGTTGTTTACATTATTTAAAATGAGTTTAAATCGCCAAATTTTATCAATTGGCGTAAATTTGGTAAGCCAAGCGTTGGTATAAGTGCTTTTAGCGAAGCTGAAAGATAAAATAAGAGTAAAAAAGTAAAAAAGAAAAAAAATATGTATACACAACAGTGTTGGCATTTTTTGGTACAATTGTACTTGTTTGATACAATTTCATTTACAATATACTTTCCTACTACGCAGTACTTTTTAATACAATTTTGTAATGAATACTAAAAATATATAGCTCTGAAAATTCACAGCAAGAAATTTTTTGTATTCTCTTTTGTTCGCCAGTTCGTATTTACCTTTGTAAGTTTTGAAAAATGGCTTGAACGAACCAGTATAATACAGCCTAGGCAAATTTTTAAAGAAACTTTTCGATACTAAGTTTTATTAAAACAAAATGTCGAAGTCAACTTCATATAGAAAGAAAGTCTTCGTTAGTTATAAGAAGAGATTTTCTTAAATATAATACCTTTACGGCACTCACATATTGACAAGATTTACTATTTATTTTATTATTCTTTAATTTTAACTATCTGTTTATAAAATATAATGTATTCTTTAAGAAAAACTGTATAAACCCAAGATTAAATCTATGCGAAACATCCAAAAACCAACATACTTTCGTAAAAATTTCAAGCTTTATCAATATTCTTTAGTTTTTAGCCCATTCAATTTTAGTATAATAAAGTGCAAGTTTAAAGTAGCTGTGACTTACCGTTGAACTTGGCATTTTTTTTTGTCGACGATGTCAGTCATTTTCTTCCATACGAAGTGTGTTCGACGATTTTTTTATATGGAGAAAATTAGCAACACCTTCATCAAAGAAATCTTAAAAAACTTACTTATATTAAAATTTAATTGCTAAAAAACCGCACACTCAAAATAAATCTAGGAAATCGAATTAAAAAGCTCGAAATTTTTACGAAAGTGTGTTGGTTTTTTTTTAATGTTGCACAAAGTTTGAACCTTGGATTTGTACGGCTTTTCTTAAAATATAAACCGTATTTTTACAAAAAATAATTAAAATTTAATAATATTAAGATAAATGGTCAAATCTTGTCGTAAAGTTTTGATAAGCACTTGAAATGCTATAAAAATGTCAAATTTTAGTACTGAATCCAAAGAAAATGTCTCTTTTATCCATTAATATCAACTTAAATATGCTTTTTGTTAAGATGTATACCTGAAAATGTGTGCATACATATTTGCGTTAAATGCAGTACATGTGCACGTGGAATCAATTTGTAAAAGTGTAAAATACGTAAACGTATGTACATAAACAATAAAACTTTCTCATGAATACCATAAAATCATTGGTCTTGAAGGGAATGTACTAAGAAAATATATGAGCGAATTAAAAAGTGTATACAATTTATAGCCGAAAAGTACATTTTTTGTATAGATTTCGTACTGAAGGAACGATTTCATTTCCCAACACTGATACAGAATGTAAAGAAACACAGGGTTGCAAGGAAAAAAAGTTGAACGAGCTCAAAGTTGGCTGGCGACCAACTTTGTTGAAAGCGATTAGTTGAAAGGCCGTTCGGACGAGGCGATTTTTGCTTTCAACTAAAAGTTGCCTGAAAAATCGCCTCGTGCGAAAGCCCTAATCTGTCACGTAAAGCGAAGCAAAAGTTTTATGTGACATCAGCTTTAGCGTCAACGGTGCTTATGCGGCAAATTACACCCTGTCCGTTCACCATTGCGTCCGCAAAATCAAAAACTCGTTGCTGCTCTTTGTAAAAATTACGTTGTACTTTTCTTTCATCATATTATACTTCAATAAATCCAAAAATTTTCACAAACTGAAAAATTTTAAATTCAAATATGCAAACAAAATACACAGAATAGTTGTCACTTGACGCTAACGCATAAGTAAAGTTGAAATGTGAGCTAATTTGTGCGCCACCGTCACCGCTGTTCAGCTTGTTTATGTAACTTACTTAATACGAATACACCGATTCAATTTTTTTGACAACTGACGGTGGCGGTGACGATATGCACCGAAATCAAATCGAGACAGTCTAGCACGCTTTTTGTGTACTATTGTGTACGTGAGTGCCGTTTTTGTGTATGTGTTGTGTACATGTTTATTTATAAACGAAAGTGTGCCTTTTCTTTTGTACGTGTTTATTAATATATCTGTACTGTAATGTTTTCGGACGGGGTTAGCTCTTACTGCCAATATAGGAGTATTACATATATGATTGAATATCCCCAAGATTTAAAGCCATCTCCAGATTCCCCTTAGAAATTCTAATTCAACAAAAATCGGGGAATTCTCCAGGATTTGCATCACTGCTGTAAATGTAAATATTATTATCACTTGTGTCTCTCTGTACATAGCTGTAGAAAGCGATACACTGAGAGGTTGCTATTCGGCTATATCGGAATCTGTTGTTTGCGTGAGTTTATCGCCATAATAAAAAATAATAATTAATGCTTCCAAGTATAAATTGCAGAAAGTAGTAGAAAGTCTCTGGTCAAAGTGTTCACAGTAATCTAGAGACATGGATCAAATGTTGAGTCCCGGTTTCTCGATTCCTAGTATTGGAGCAACTCCACTCCATCAAATGGATGCAGACCAACAGATTGTGCCCAATCCTGTTTATCATCCAGCAGCGGACACACATGACTTGAATCATATGGGTATGCCGTCGTTACTAAATAGCGGTAATTCACCATCAACAGCTAGCAACTCTAATATGGGCGGGGGTACACATCCGACATTGCCGACAGCGCATAAACAAATGCAATCCTACCAAAGTTCCAGCTCATTGATGACAAATGGAGGCGCGCCACAAAGTCTTATGCAACCACAAACGCCAGTAAGTAATCTATAGCTCAAAAGTGGACACTAAATAATTCATGTCTCCTTACAGCAAAGTTTAATGTCACCAATGGTTCCCATGAGTGAACGCGCCGATAACCTTAGTAATATACATCAAACTATGGGTCCCGCAACACCCATGACACCAATGACTCCAGGTTCCGCTGATCCTGGTATTGTACCACAACTACAGTAAGCTATTTTATGTGCATGTAACATGTACTTTTAACTGAATTTTTATCTTATTTTAGGAACATAGTTTCAACAGTAAACCTTTGTTGCAAACTAGATTTAAAAAAAATCGCTCTTCATGCGAGAAATGCCGAGTATAATCCTAAACGTTTTGCTGCAGTAATTATGCGGATACGAGAACCTAGAACTACAGCACTGATATTTTCCTCTGGCAAGATGGTATGCACCGGTGCAAAAAGTGAGGACGACTCTCGACTAGCAGCACGGAAATATGCGCGAATCATTCAAAAGCTAGGATTTCAGGTAACTAGTGTAAATGTACAAACATATGTACATATTTTCTTTCAGTGTACATACTTACACATATGCAATGTTTCTCTGTGTGTTTACAGGCGAAATTTCGTGATTTTAAAATCCAAAATATGGTTGGATCATGCGACGTGAAGTTCCCAATACGATTGGAAGGTCTAGTACTTACACATTGCAATTTCAGTTCTTATGAACCTGAGCTATTTCCTGGTCTTATTTATCGTATGGTGCGGCCTCGTATTGTGCTCCTGATATTTGTGTCTGGTAAGGTGGTGCTGACAGGAGCAAAGGTGCGCCAAGAAATATATGAAGCTTTCGATAAAATATTTCCTATTCTAAAGAAATTTAAAAAACAATCTTAACACTTCTGTTCGTTGATTGTTTTCTTTGCTAAAGTTGTCATATTACTTGGCAAATACGCTCCATTACTAGATTGATTGCAGTTACACATATGCAGTTTTGAGGGATCAGAGAGCTATTTTCCATAACATATACAACTATTTATAATTAGGGGATTCACAAGACGTGTTAACCGTCGTAAAATCTTAAGGTTAACATCTTTTTTAATTAAAATGGTTTTAGGGGATTTCTAACTAAACCGAAATTCTTTTAAACTGATAAAGAATATATAATTAGCCAACCCCCCAACCATTTTAACCGCTATTTTACATAAACAAGTGTTAAGCTTAAGATTTTACGACGGTTAACACGTCTTGTGAATCCCCTAAATGTATGTGTAAGTGTTTATTGTAGTTTATTCATAAGTTGTAACTAGGTAGCTGTGGGCTTAAAAGCCTCGAAGTATAAATATGGTTTGATTTTGTACGGTCTCTAATATTTGTAAACTATTTAGCGTGACTAAATATTTTCGAAATAAATTACGGAGTTCTGAAAATTACCTTTTGGTTTAATTTTTAGGATAAGTTTAGACGCTATCTAGGGTTGTTGTTGGGTAAAGCAAAGCTATACCGCTTTCGAACTGTAAATAAATTACGAGACGGATCTTTGCATACGTATGTTATTAATGCCATGTATGAGGATGGCATCTAGTTTCCATACTTGTCGCAACACCCCAAAGAAATTATAACTAAAAACCAATTTACGTATACAGATATAAATCGAGATTTATTAGATTACTATCATTTTGGGTATTCTAGCAGTCTTGCAAAGCTCTTGCACATTGCACAGATTGCACGGTAAATACCGGGTTTCGTATGAGACAGCTTTGCAATCCGTCCACCGCGCAGTCTTTGCAAGACTCTGAGAATACCCCTATTGAAAAAGGATGATTTCTTAGATTTGCAAATTACAAACACTGAGCCATCAAACCACCCAAGTTATCGAACTCAATTTTTTCTGTTATATTTTTTGTTTTAATCTTTTCATCTTGCACAGCGATGACAATCAATTTACCCTGGTGCTTCCAACCATTTTTCTTAATCCATTGTTCAAGTGTTGAGTCTGTATAAGTAAATTTTGTTAAAATTGAAAATATACAAGTTTATGAATCTTACTTGCCTTCAATACCTCCCAAAAGTTCTTTTAATAAATCTTTTCTGATTGTTTGGAAAGTAATTCCCACAACATGGCATACAAATTTACGTATAGAATCGTGGAAGCCAGATATGTGGCGAAACAGAGCACGATTCACTTCAGCCCGCTGCCAAAATAATGTAAAATCAGTACGTTCCAGTATATCTGCCAAATCAATTATGGTTTGCACAGTTCCATCTTTCATTTGCTGAGGAAGTAGCAAACATTTTGCCATAACAAAATCTGTGTGTGGCAAATTGGTCAAGCACTTAAGTAAAATTGTGTAGGTGATATCGAAGTTCAGCATATGCGGATTGAACTGGTAAAGCTTCAGTACTGCTAGATTTGCTTCCAAATCATAGGTGTTATTTTTAGCCTGATCCTCGACATAAGCTTCCAATGTCTTCAAATGATCCGGGTTATACCTGTTTGGAAATTAGATAGTATGTACAATTATTGTTTAAGGTTATGTACTCAGTTTCGCCTGCATGAATATAAGCAGCGACTTACCGCTCAATGCAACCCAACATTTCTTGGATGGTTTGACTTTGACCATTTTCCATTTTAACCATATGTGACATTTTGTATTAATAAATATTTCTTATAATTTAATGGAAAATATTACAAATCCAGCAGCGCAACGCAAACACAAATCGCAAGTTGACGTTGATGGAAAGAGAGTTTACGTTCTTTGCTTCTATGCATCGAACATTTTTCACTCGATGTATAAATAGTCGATATATCGATGCGTCGATGTTTTTTAAAACCGACAATTCTAGTGTATTGAACCGTCATTACAGTTTTTCAATTGTACAAAAAATTATGGTGACTTTGACCAAAAAATTTAATTTAATTTTAAATATCTCCAAAAAGTTCCGTTAGAAATATAATTAGCTCAGTTCCAGTAATTTTTTTCAAATTTTCTACAATTTCGCTAGTAACATATTTTGTTGTGAAACATTCGGCCCTATGCCCTATCGTCATCGTCATCGTCGACGATCGTCAGCGCATCAGTATGGCCGTATCGCCACTTTTACTGACGATGACGATATTCAACATAGGGCGGAATATCTGAAAAATCCTATGCAAATCGATGATCGATGTGTGCCCTTCGATGCATCGAAAAATATCGATGTACATTTCGATGCATCGAATCAAAGAAAAACATCGATGTCTTTTTGCCACTGGTATCCCTAAGAGAGAGCGCCAGCAACTGTCAGTTGACAAAACAGGTAATGCAGTGCCACGCACTGCGTTTTCATATTGTAAAAGATCTTTTGATTTGTTTACATACAGTTATGTAAAAAAGTTTGCGGAATTGTATCAGGCTGCCTGCTCAAGAAACAAAGAACGTAACTTTATCTATATAGATTTACGTTCTTTGGTTGTACATTTTTTATAGCATTTCTTTAAAATTTTTTTCTATTCTTTTAATTATTTGATCGGTCAGGAACAATTTACTACAAGAGGGTGCAATTGCTGGCGAATGTCGGTGACGTGTTGTTGTTGTAACAGCAATTAAATTCCCCAAAGAGTTTTTGGGGAGTGTTTTTGGAGTGTGTTGTTGTTGTAACAGCATACAGATTCTCCGAAGTTTTTAGAGAGTGTTGCTGGAGGTTTTTGGAATGTCTGTCCTTGGGCAGATATAAATCGAACCCCCTTATTCTAGAACCCGAATTTTCGTACTTCGTAGCAAAGCTAAGGGCCGGTTGTTCAAAGCCTGGTTGTCACTAATCCCCGGTTAAACATCGTTGTCGACGTTACCGATACCATGTTATATGTTTGGAGTCGAAAACGTCGATAACGATGGTAACCGGTGATTAGTGTCAACCAGGCTTTGAGCAACTGGCCCTAAGGGCCGGTTGTTCAATGTCTGGTTATCACTACCACTACACTATCGACGATTTCGACATCACGCATGTAACATGTGATCGATAAAGCAGTAGTTGTGCTTAACCGGAGCTTCTACCTCCGATTTGTGCTAATCAGACATTGAACAACCGGCCCTTAGTATGCATAACTGGGCTATAATCCCCGGTTATATGCATGAAGTCGGAAACGTCGATAACGATGTTAACCGATGAGTGCTTATTTATAGAAAAATAGTTTGATTTTACATATTTTGAAGGGAAGGATGGATTCCTATGCCTGAAGAACTGGTTCTCAATCCAGTAAATGCANAGTCGGAAACGTCGATAACGATGTTAACCGATGAGTGCTTATTTATAGAAAAATAGTTTGATTTTACATATTTTGAAGGGAAGGATGGATTCCTATGCCTGAAGAACTGGTTCTCAATCCAGTAAATGCAATAAGGGCCGGTTGCTCAAAGCCTGGTTGACACTAATCACCGGTTAACATCGTTATCGACGTTTTCGACTCCAAACATATAACACGGTGTCGGTAACGTCGACAACGATGTTTAACCGGGGATTAGTGACAACCAGGCTTTGAGCAACCGGCCCTAACAGCTTCTTCCAAGCCAATTGAAACATGCACTTTGCACCACCACCTGTTGCTTTTGCTTCTGCCTTCGGCCCCGCTTAGAGATTCTGAAGGCTCTGTTATGCATACTTGGCATTGCATGCACTGCTATACCATTTTTACGTAGAAATCAAAAACCAACAGACTTCTACGTATGTAGTGCTGTGCGTTCGATAACCGATTACACGCGAGGCTCATTTAACAGATTTCTTATGTGACAGCTCTCAAGCCATGCCAAGTATGCATAACGGAGCCTTAACACTCTGTTATGCATACTTGGCATTGCTTGAGAGTTGTCACATAAGGAATCTGTTAAATGAGCTTCGCGTGTAAGCTGTTACCCAACGCACAGCATTACATACGTAAAAGTCTGTTGGTTTTTGATTTCTACGTAAAAATGGTATAGCAGTGCATGCAATGCCAAGTATGCATAACAGAGCCTTTAACCCTTACTAAGTAGAATTCTCCTTTCTATGTTGCCGGAGAAGAGGGGTGTCCGAATGCCAAAGGTATACAACATTTCTTGTGCATATAACTACGGCTACGTCATCCACAGTAATTTCAGGCTGAACCCTCATCGAAATTTACAAAAAAGTGCATAGTGCTAACCGAATTTATTAATAAATTTGTGGTCCGAAATTTGAAAAATTAGTTTTAAATAAAACATTAATTCTTTGGTTACCCATGTATGTCAAAGTTTTTGGATTCGGGTTATGCGTTTGGACACAACAACCGAAAATGATTGTACAAATAACTAAACCGGACCCAAGTTTCTCAATTAGGGGCAACAGAGATGTTTTTTTGTTCGTTTTTTGTTATATAAAGCATTGGATAAAAATGTATGTACATACAAGCGAAACGCAAATTATCTGTTTAGAGAACGCCACTAATAAATAGCTGTAAATTTCTTACTCGTTCGTTTTTAGGCATGCCATTGTTACGAATTTCGAAAGTTCGAATATACGATTCGGATTGCAGCATACTATTTCTACGATTCGTAGCAAAATCCGAATACGAAAGAGTTGCAGAATATGGGTGTAAGGGCCGGTTGTTCAATGTTTGGTTATAACTACCACTACACTATCGACGATTTCGACACCATGCATGTAACATGTGATCGATAAAGCAGCCGTTGTACTTAACCGGAGCTTCTACCTCTGATTTGTGCTAATCAGACATTGAGCAACCGGCCCTAAGTCTTTCCGGTTACTTAGACCCGACAGTCGTGGAAGTGATGCCGACGACATCAACATCATCGGTAACAGGAACCACAAAGTCTGTTCTGCCTTTTCCAACTTGGATAAAGAAGCAAATCTAATGGGTGTGGTGGTCAACGAGGACAAGTCGAAGTATCTCCTGTCATCAAACAGTCAGCGCATTCGCGCCTTGCCACCCACATCAGCATCAACACCGATAATAATGTCAGCCTTGAAATCCAATGCAGAATCACTCTTGCCAACAAGTGCTACTTTGGACTGAGTAGGCAATTGAAAAGTAAAATCCTCCTCGGTAATATAAATGAATCTATTAACATAAATGAATTTTCCAATGCAATTATCATACATTGTATTTTCGATAAAGTTTCGGGTTTTACTTTAAGGCCTTTTAAATTCGAAAGGCATATCAAAAGGAATTAAAGGAGTCATGCGACTTGTGGTTCCGAAGTTATGGCCGATTAAAAATTCTACGACTGCGAGACATTCCACGTCCCCTCCAACAAAGTTTTTTATAAATACATACCTTACTATAAGCATCTACCATAGATTTGAAATTTCAAGTTCATGTGACTTATGGTCATCGTACAGTTCCATAAGTAAAGTAACTCTTCTTCTTACCGTTTTTTCTGGCAGGCTGTAGGTGTGTTTTTGGCAGGCTGTAGGTGTGTTTTTGGTTATTGTATTGGTGTTTTTGGTTCAGTGTGTTAGTGTATTTTGAATAAATTGTAATAGGAATAAATGAAATTGTAATAGAAATGAAAGAAATTGTAAAAGATAAGAGCACATGCCAAAAAACAGGTGATCTCAGCTGTAGGCATATTTTGGCAATCAGCTGATAGTGTTTTTACTTATGAAACTGTACGATGCTTATGGTTCCGAAGTTACAGCTGATTAAAAATTTGCAGGCCTATGGGAGGTGCACGCCCCCTCGCAAAACAAAACTATACCTATAACCTCCCCGGGGTAAAAAACAAATAAGTGTGCAAAGTTTCGTTCGATTCCGTGTAGTGATTCAAAAGTTATAAGGTCATATACAAACAGACATTCACATTTATATATACCCTGCAGCAAATCAAACTGGTTCCGAACTTGCGCTGAGCTAGCCTGAAAAGGGACGGTACTGGTTCTTCATCTATCCCAACTCAATGCTTTCAACGGTCTTTTTTAACATGGCGATGTTCTACAAAGTGACAATTGTCGCCCCCTGCAGAACTTTTGAACTTGTTCTAAGCTGACTCTGGCTTTTGAGCTGGTTCTAAGAAGTATAGTATAGAACAATTTCTTTAAATACTGCAATTAAATAAGCACGCATACAATTTTGTAAATGAAAAATACTTCTTTTTATGATTAATTAGCTATTTGTTTGGCATTAATTTATTTTTTGAGGCAAACAGCGCTTTAAAATTAGAAACATAAAGTGTCAGNGCGAGATTGTTTTTTAAACAGCGCTTACAAGCCAAACCAGATGTGTCAGGTTTTTCTAAAGCTTTTAAAAGCTGTAAAAAGAATTCTTCATTCTCATTCCTCTGGCTGTTTCAGAATTTGGGGAATCTGTAACTTCATCAGCGTTTTTCGATTTTAGTTTTTGTGGTTAATTTTTAATACTTTCTTCTGCGACTGGCTTGAAAAATTTGTGCCTATAGCGAGCTAAATAGGTGGATATGGAAAATAAACTATTCTGTTTTTAAAGTCGTGGCTGCCAGCCGAATCGGATCAGAATATTGTTATTTTTTTAAAAAGCATTTGAATCTCAGATGGTTACGTAATTCTTATCTTATTAAAGGTCAGATCTATAGTTTTTTAATTATTTTAGCATCGATTTTCTCTATAGCCAGACGTTGATCATTTCTGCTGGAAATCCCTGTTGAAGGAGCTTCTCTTTGACATTAAATAGCTAAGAAGGGACAGTTTTACCACAGATGTTTTTAGCCAAGGATCCAATGTATATCCCTATGAAAAAAGTATTGCCCGACAAGTAAA